ATAAGTATGAAACCTTTCTAGGATGATGCAAGCCTGTAGAGTCATTTGACACCACATATCATATAAATATAAGGGACAACAATTAAGTGGAGGTGTGTTGCCGAACTTTAATTTAGAGAAGTGAACAATTTAAAAGACGTCGTTGTTCATATGAATGAGGAAAATCTTAGGCTTATAGTAAAGATGTAGGGGCGTCCATTGAAAAGCTGTGAACCACAAGATATATTTTGTTGTATGTTATTAGTGCCTTTTGGTGCTTTCTATGTTGGTTTTTATTTTGCTGGATAAGAAGTTATAGATGGCTTATAATATTTTTATAGCTCTTTCTGTATGACCATATAATAGGTAGAAAATGGTGTAATTGGGATAGGTTGGTGGATTAATTATGATGGATAGATGAATTGTAATGGCTGTACTACTGGCAATGGTTAATTATATGACTTTCTTGAATATTGTACAAATGTTGTTTAATTAATGAAAATGTTAATTTGGTTGCAGACTTGGTCTGTTAAGTTTGATATGCTATACAATTTGCAAACACTTTAACTAAACAATAATTATTCATTTCATAGGTAACCATAATAATAAAGGTTAACAAATTATACTAACACCTTTTTTCATGTAAGGAAAAATATAATGAAAACAAAATATGGTAGCTATACATAACTATACATTATAAGACCAATAAATGGACAAAAAAACATCAGAGTTTGCCTTTGCTTGAAAATCAACGTGTATATCCCCATATAAGCTAATTTAAGGCCTTCTTGCTATCCACAAAAAGAAAAAGCTTCCAAATCATCAACTTGTGTATCAACTCCTAGTAGCTGGTTGTTGTGAACTTGTTACACTTATTGCTGCCTATCCTATCCTAGGCCTCTTATTGCTTTGTGAACTCTAAAACAAATAAAAAACACAAAATTGAATGATTTAGTTCAAGAAAATATGTTGAATGATATAGCTTAACAATTATTTTCATCCAAACTAACAGTACATAAAAACAAGCCTCCATAGGATCCTTTTAGATGGAAGCCATCAAGGCCAAATGGCCTACAACACTTGAGAAAGTCGTTCTTTATAGCAGCAAGTGTGTCCATATCATTTAAATCATGATCATTTTGGTTTGTTGAGGGGAATGGGTGAATGAGTTTAAATAACTTCGGGATACTTTTCTCAATTACAAGAAAAGATAGCATTATTATTTAAATTATAATCATTTTGGTTTATTGAGGGGCCATGCTTACATCTTCAAAATCATAGCTTATCACATCATCCATATTATCTGAATCTGCATTAGTATGAGGTGCTGAAGGTCTTATATTTCCTTGAGATAATTTTTTTTTTCTCTTTCATTTTTTGCATTCCCATTAGTGTTAGCAATCATTCTTCTTGCAACCCCAACAGACCTGGAAACATCCCTAGCTCCGTCTCTAGAAGTTCCCATATTATTGCCCCTTCTTCTACCCCTATAGTTGTTGTTCCTTCATAACCTTCAAAACAAGCCTCACCCATCACCCACCATTTTCGTTTATGTCCACATTTTGACCATTATTCACATTCTCGCATTTTAATTAACATTAGCCATATTTGCATCAATGTTAACAACTTCAGGACCCATACCCATATTTGCAGCCTCAATTCCCATCCCAATTTGATGTTTCTCCACCTAATGGATGTTGATCAATTACACTACCTTCTACATTACTCTTACCAGCTTGACTACATAAAAGTAGTGGCATTGCACCACTAGTCCCAGCTTCATCACTATCCTTAGTGCCACCAACATTCCCTTCTCGATGACTTGTTCCACTATCTAGGAATTAAACTGCAATTGGATATTGTACATTACCTATCCTTAATTCAACTTCATCCGTAACTTTGAACATTTCAAACGTAAATAATACATGAATATAATTCTCGATCAGTCTTGATGTTATTACCACAAGTAATTTTCATAAATTCCCCTTCTACATTAAACAACTCAAATACAAGATCTAATAAATCCAAGTATGAGAACTTATCTGGATCAACATTCCCTATTGTCCCTTTCTGTCCTTCACACGTACAAAATACACCAAAATACGCTAGAAGAGCCATTCTGCAATGTAAATCATATGTGCAAAAACTCAGTAAAATAGTGCAATTTCATTTAATGAATAGAAAAAGTAAAGTTCTACACTGTGAAACCCTGGAAAGTAACTCCAAACATCATCAACAAGCAAAAACAACAAATTGCTTATTACTACCAGTCAAATGCATCATCTCGAATATAATTTTTTATAAAATTACGGTTCACACAGTTATATGGGTGGGAGAGAAAGCTTATCTCTCTGGCCTATCCTTAATTCAACTTCATCCGTAACTTTGAACATTTCAAACGTAAATAATACATGAATATAATTCTCGATCAGTCTTGATGTTATTACCACAAGTAATTTTCATAAATTCCCCTTCTACATTAAACAACTCAAATACAAGATCTAATAAATCCAAGTATGAGAACTTATCTGGATCAACATTCCCTATTGTCCCTTTCTGTCCTTCACACGTACAAAATACACCAAAATACGCTAGAAGAGCCATTCTGCAATGTAAATCATATGTGCAAAAACTCAGTAAAATAGTGCAATTTCATTTAATGAATAGAAAAAGTAAAGTTCTACACTGTGAAACCCTGGAAAGTAACTCCAAACATCATCAACAAGCAAAAACAACAAATTGCTTATTACTACCAGTCAAATGCATCATCTCGAATATAATTTTTTATAAAATTACGGTTCACACAGTTATATGGGTGGGAGAGAAAGCTTATCTCTCTGGCAAAATAGCGATAATCTTCAAAGGAAAACAATCTGATAGTTATGCGTGTTGAGAGAAACAGACACTAAGTGACCACCTTTGCTTGAAAATCGAGGTCCTACACTCATAATTTATCGATTAGAGTATCCATGGGAGAGTCGCATTTCTAAGAGTTTTCGATGGAGGGAAACTTTTTGTTAAGGATCTTTTATCACAATACACTTTGACTTAATAGGCAAATATGTATAATAGGATATTTTCGTCCTTTACTATGCATTTAATGCCTAAACGCCTTAAAAATAGACAGAAAGACCGAATCATGTAATGAAATCTAAACTTAGGAATAATCTTATATTTTGATAAAAGTAAGGATTGACTAGTGTATTTGACAATTATATAAGATGTAATAGTAATTTTTCCTATGATAAAATGATGACAAGTAATACTATAGAGACTAAACAAGTAAATAAAAATGTTTTAAATTTTATTTAAAAAATTATAATAAAATATAATTTGAGAGTATTTTTTTTTCTTTATTTCACAACTCTTTATCTTTCTTTTTATTGTTTCAAATTATGAGAAAACGAAATCAAAGCCGCATGCTTATGGTTTCAATTTTCAGATCATTGACTATAGTCTAATTTTGGTTTTGATTCGAACTGTGATGACACGTACAATCATACTAACTTCTTGTACTTGCTTGATATTATGATGGAATACAGTATAGATGACCCTTCCAAATTGAAACCACATAATATTACCTCGTCGCTATAATTTTAGAGGTCTAATGATTTAAAAAAGTCTCAATTTTGGTTTTTTTTTTTTTAAATTTTTCATTACCTTTAATTTCGTCAATTGATAAAACATTGGCCTTTGTCAAAAGCATAGGGCTTCAACTTTTTAAAAATGGACCAGAGTTGAGGGTTTTTTCTTTTTGTTATGATAACGTGACATGTTGGTGTAAGGCTAAGGTAGCATTTGTGAGCTACGAACAACCACATTGGTTAGTTTTTAATAGAATTTGGATGGACTAAAATTAACAATAATAAAAAAAGAAATAAATTCATGGTATGAATAGACAAAATTAAAAATATTGGATAGAATTGAAAAAGAAATATAAAGAAAAAAAAATTCATTGACTTCAAGAGCTTTCGCATCGTCTCCTAGCCCACCCGCACCCTTGGCCTTGGTCATGAGTCTGGTGGGTCAACCAAATGACCAATTCCCATATACTATTTTCCCCCTTCTCTTTCTTTCACTGTTCAGAATTGGCACTCGGTTAGTGGTGACTACTATTTCAAAAATATTTCTAAAAAGATAAACTCTCTTTATTTTAGTCGGGTCCGATGGGCCTTACGAGAGACGTAGAATACTTTAAAATGTAAATATATTCGATAAAATTAATTATTTTAATAATTGTTAGTTATTTTTCATCAAATGTTTATATAGTTTGTTCGATAATTAACTATTTTGATAATTGTTAGCTGTTTTAATAGTATTTAACTGCTTGAGTAGTTGTTAACTGCTTGAATATCTTTTCGTGGAACACTAAAAGTTAAATGTTAGAGGGTTAATATTTTATAATGCTTTTTATAAAACCCTAAAGCTAAACATTAAAAGGGTTAACATTTTATAAAACGCTACTTTAATTTCTAAAAACTAATTCAAACTCTATCTTACCGAATACTATAAAATTTAGTGTTTAACATTTTAAAAAAAACTATTTAAAAAGTTATTGTTAAAACATAGTCATAATATGCTCTTCTAAATTCTAAACACCAGTATAAATACGCTATATTACTGAATACTATAAATATTAAAAGTTTCATTTCGAGATGAGTTTGTTAGGTGTAAGCACAAACCAATTGAAATAAAAAAATTGAACCAAATCAATCTAATTTGGTTATTTTATTAATCGATTTAATTTCAATTTATAATTTAATTTAAAATAATCTCCCAATTTAAATTTTGATTTTTAATTCGGATATTTGAAGTAAATAAAATATATATAAAAATCGAATCAAATGCACTGAACCAATTCTTTTAGTTTGGTTTTGATTCATTTTAGAAAAGTACATCCTTCTGTTCTTAATATTATTGACTTGGTTATTATTGAGTTGTTACATAAAAGCAAGCAGGCGTTTAGCGGGTGACTAAGCAAGTAGCAGCTTCCATTCTACGCTTCAGAAACAACCTCGTCTACCAGTTTTATCTATCTGATAATTTATGTGTCCACGTTTACAGATAAAGAGTATCTGCCACGTCACCTTCTTTTCATTCTTCTGCAACGAGAAAGAAATTTACACAAACGAAAACAACCTTGTCTTTCTTTTTCTCTTCTCTTCCCCTCTTAAGCTTCTCTCTTTGTTTACCGCGACCCAAACGCCTAATTTTCTCGACGAATTATTTCATTTTTGACCGATTTTCTTCGATGTTTATGGCAGTTAAGTTGCAGCGTCATTGCTTCGTACCCTCAAGGTCCTCTATTGATTCCCTCTTCTTTATTAGTGTGTACTTTTTTTGTCAATTTTATTTTTGGAAAATATTTAAGGCCTTTTGTTATTGAAGCACGGCTGGGGTGTGGGGTGGGGGGGGGGGGTTTGGTTTTAATTGCTTGCACTTTTGTTTATTTTATTTAATTTTCTCTCTGGTGACTGAGAAACTGGAGGAAATGAAAAAGAAAATGAATGTTATTAGAATTTTCTATAACTGATGTTTTGTGTTGGTTAACGATGCAAAAGAAATAATTAAAAATTCAATTTTGAATGTAATTGGATTCCAGTTGAGTATGTATTCTTTTTGGAATTACTTTACACTGGAATATTTTAACTAGTGAGAATGAGAAGCCAACTGCTGAATTGAGTTTAGTTCTTCTGCGGTTATTACATTGAGTTATTGTTAATATTATTGTTGAATTGGTTTTTTTTTTTTAATTTATTTTAAATTCCAGTTAATAATAACTTATAGTGCATGTATTTTCTTTTGTGTCCATTGTATCAAACTGTGTTTTCTTGGACGAGAATTTGTAAATTTTTGTGAAATTATGTCCAATTTGGAGAATTTGGGATCAGCTAAGGGCTACTGTTTCATGTTTGGTTATTATATTGATACTATGCCTATCTTGATTGCTCTTGCATTGAAATTATAGAGTGTTTGCTGCTGGGCATTCTTTGCACATCAAAATTTTAAAAAGAAAAATTAGGAACTTGACGAGGACCAAATGAATGATTTTGTAGCTACTTTTTTCAGGAGTTGAACACGGTATCCCTGTTGTCTTTTTGTTTCAACATTGGGTATGATGCGATGCAATATTCTTGAATGAGCTTAGAGTTTGACTTAAGAGTTATGTATTTGCAAATTGCAGTTCTTCAAATCCATGCCTTTCTCGAAATTCAATTGGAACACGTGTTTCCTGTGAAAGGGTGGCTCACTTGGATTACATATTAAGCAGTTGGGGTAATTCAAGGAAAAGATGCCTTTTGAGGCATGCATTTTTTATGACTAACTACCGAAATCTTAGTTATAAATTGGCTGCATATAGGAAATCAAAATGGGGCTATAGTAAAACAAAAAGGTTGAGGCACCTCCTTCCCTTTGCATCTGCAGATGATGGTGTAACTGTTAATGGAAGTCCTACAGCAAGTAAGAATACCAATGTAGATGAAATGAGAGTCAAACTCAATCAGTCATTGCAAGGTGAAGATTATGGTGATAGACTTGTTCAATCTTTACACGATGCAGCTAGAGTTTTTGAGTTAGCGATTAAAGAACAAGCCTCTCTTTCAAAATTATCTTGGTTTTCAACAGCATTTCTTGGTGTCGACAGGAATGCCTGGGTGAAAACACTGTCTTACCAGGTTCATTCTCATTCCCAAAAGAAATAGAAAATTTTTTGGATATCTTGCATCATAGATGTGCTACTTCATTTTTTTTTCAAATCTTTTTCTTGTAAGATATGCATGTAAATTGTCAACTCAATGCTGCATTGTTTTGGTCATCTTTTTTATGTATAGGAGTTGGGCAATCATTGCCAATTGTATTTGAGCGTAAAATTTTACTATCATTTTTTTGTGTGCTTGTCCTGTAATGCCATTACAATCTTTCTAGGAGATTTTCTAGTCAATGCTTATTTTGGTCCACTCTTTTTTTTTTTTTTCTTTGTCGCTAGCTTTATCTGTGAAACCTTTTTGAAGCTTGTCTTGGGTGATGTGTTCTTAAATTGCTTCATGGTTCTACAAATGATCAAGGTGCAATTTTACACTTTTTTTATATTTTTTATGTAATTATCCAATGATTGGCTGCTGAATATCTGACTAGTTTGCTTCTGAAATGTCTTGAGATTCTTTTAGTTTGGTCAAAATTTAAACTTGTTTAATTAGTTTCTTCATCACTGATAAAGCAGCAGCCTCCCAATATCTAATGCTGTTTTAAATTTCTTGCTTATATTTTCTCATTAAACTGTTGGTTCTTACATCTCATCAGTTTTTTATTATATTTTTTTAGGATTCTTTTTTTGTCATATATTTTTTTTTTGTTATAATTTTTTATTTGGATACATTAATGCACTGTTTCTCAACGTGTCCAAATTTAGTTATCTATATATGATTAGGTGAGATTTTAGGCTAATTCTTTTGAATATTGACTTAATTATTTTAATCGGAAATGCCATTTAGGCCATCTCTTGTTTCATGAACTTCTCAGGCTTCTGTATATTCTCTATTGCAAGCAGCATCTGAGATTTCATCCCGAGGTGAAGGAAGAGATAAGGATGTAAATATTTTTGTCCAGAAGAGGTATTAAATACGTGTATTTTAGTTCACAATTCTTGTGAATGGAATTCATATTCAAGCTTTGAAATTCTTGTTAAATTCACCTTGTCTGTTGTTTGTCCAAAATATTCATATCCTGCATTGTCAATGCCATTAATGTGTGTGAAGCTATACGAAACAAGTAACTACCTGCAAGTTTTCTTAAATGCAACATCTTAAATGTGGTACCCTATTTTCAAATGCTTGCCACTTTTATGATGCGAATCATATGGGGACTGATATTTTGTCATAGATAGCCAGTTTTCCATGATTTGATGAGAAAATAATGGAATTTTGAAGATCAGTCCCCTCCATGTCTTTCTGTGAATGTCTTCCAAGCAATGTTATATATAATATGTATTTTGGACTGAGTTTTTATATTAAATTGATTGTTGAACTCTTTTTCTTAGCGGGTACAGATTGAGCCTTCAGATTTCTAATTTTTTTTTTTTATTTTTATTTTCCTCTCTTGTATGTTTCCTTTATTCAAAATCCTTTGTTCCATACTTGTTATTGTAGCCCCTTCCTATTAGTGGTTTGGATATAATATTTATATTGATAAATCTATATTCTTTTCTCTTAATCTACTCTTTTCTGGCTATTTTAACGATTTATTTTGTGCAGTTTATTGCGACAATCTGCTCCCTTGGAGAGTTTAATCAGGGAAAAGCTATCTGCCAAGCATCCTGCAGCGAATGAATGGTTTTGGTCTGAGCAAATCCCGTTGGTTGTGGCGTCATTTGTTAATTATTTTGAAGGGGATGTACGCTTTACTGCTGCGACTTCTGTGTACGTTATTGAGTTTTGAGTTATAAATTTCATACAATTTGAATAGCAATGTGGAAGTAAAGTTACTTTGATTTTCTTCCAGATTGGGTAAAGGCATGTCCTCGGATTCAGACAATGAAAGAGATATTGCACTCCTCTTGCTTTCACTGAGTTGCATTGCTGCAATCACGAAACTTGGCCCCACAAAAGTTTCCTGCCCTCAATTCTTCTCCATGATCTCAGATATAACTGGCAGATTGATGGAAATGCTGGTTGATTTCATTCCTATACCCGAAGCTTATCACTACATAAAGGATATCGGCCTACGCAGAGAATTTCTTGTCCATTTTGGTCCCCGAGCTGCTGCATGCAGAGTGAAAAATGATTGTAGTTCAGAAGAGGTAGTTTTCTGGGTTAATCTTATACAGAAGCAATTGCAGCGAGCTATTGATAGGGAGAGAATATGGTCAAGACTAACAACATCTGAAAGCATTGAGGTTAGTACTAAAGCTTCTAATGCCCATTACCTGAATATGGTCCACCGAAGAGTGGTTTTGAAAAGGAGAATTTGGAGACACTTCAGTAGTTTTGCATGAAATGGCTGCTATTAGTCAAACTTGCACTGTTATGGTCTCAAGCGTCTTATTTACCCTGTCACCAAGCAATGGCCCCTTCAGTCTAAGATTTTCTAGATATGCACATGTGAAGATTAATTGGGGGTATTTCAGCCTGCTGACAGTGTCTTATCGAATTATCTAAAAATTGACTGAGATAAATCAGAAACGCTTAGTGTAACCTTGTAGGAGAACTATCACATTGAGGTATTTAAGGCAAAAGTGTACTGAATAAGTCTCACATCTGCATGTTGGAAACATATATTATGTTGTGATGGGAATGGTGAATTAAATATTGACATAGTTACATTTAAGAGAAGAAGGATAAAATAACCCCATTTAGTAACTGCTTTCTTATTTTATTAGTTTTTTGTCTTTCCAAGGATAAAAAATTTTTTACTTAGTTTCTTGTAAGCGCAAAGGAAGCAGCTTAACTTTAAACTTACTGCTAGCTAAAGTTTATGGAAATGTGGACTGAAGTTATTAGTTAAGACGTATACTTTTTAGCGCTCGCAAACAGACACATACATGTTATTATATACCATTGAGTCATTGGGTTGAATAATAGTAATTGCTGCCCCCTTCCAACGGTATTTCACACTCATTTTTTTGCCTGAAAAGATTAGGCCTAACTTTTGATTTCTGTGAAATTCAGAAAGGAGGTGGTGTCATTGGATAAAACAACAATCAATTAATTATTAAAATTATTGAATAGATATAAAATCTATTTATTAATAATTAAACATTATAAATCTATTTAAAATTCAATTGATGAATAAAAATTCTAATTATCCATTGGTTGTATGAAAAGTAAATGCTTTCTGAGTGCAGGTTTTGGAGAAGGATTTGGCTATATTTGGGTTTTTTATTGCCTTAGGAAGAAGTTCAAGATCCTTTTTATCTGCAAATGGATTTGATATTATAGATGATCCTATTGAAGGCTTCATTAGGTAGCTTTGATTTTTTTTTCTTTTTTTTTGTCAATAATATATTTTTTTTCCATGTCAACTCAATTAAATGGACTTCTTTGCAGGTATCTTATTGGGGGTAGTGTGCTGTACTATCCTCAGCTTTCATCGATAAGTTCATATCAATTGTATGTAGAGGTCAGCATGTATAGTTATTATTGTTAAACAAATATGCCTTATGGTTAATTTGAGATGATCACAATGTGCTTTTGTATAGGTAGTCTGCGAAGAGCTGGACTGGCTTCCTTTCTATCCAGGCAATGTTAGCACTGTTAAACAGTCGCATGCCCATCGAAAAAAATGGGAAGTTCCTCCAAATGCTGAAGCTGTCCCTCTCATATTAGATGTCTGCTCTTATTGGATCCAGAGCTTTATTAAATACAGTAAATGGTTGGAGAACCCTTCCAATGTTAAGGCAGCGAGGTTCTTGTCCAAGGGGTAATTGAAATACATTGCATTAATTATTGGACAAATAGGAGGTAAACCAATAATTTTAACAAGTATTATGTCATAATTGTTCAGGCACAACAAATTAATGGGATGCGTGGAGGAACTGGGAATATCACGGTAAGCTAATGGAGGAAAAACTTTAGTTCTTTCTCCCTCATACTTGCATAAATTTATGCATGTACAGAGACTAAACATGGTCTTAAAAACATAGCGCATATGTCTTTGGTAGCAAAGATTTTGAATTCATGTCAATTTGACATCAGAAGCTTGGAAAGTAAAAAGCATAGTACAGAATGGTATTTGCCCAAATTTCATTTCATGCTACATTTCTATTGACTTTTTCAAGCATTTCATTCATGTTTTCTATATCAGCAGTATTTTTTCTCACATTAATTTATCTAATTTTACTTTTTTGAATAACGAATTATTAAGGAGATGATGTCCAGCTAACTTGTGAATTAACTTTTACATGTCACTATTTGTTTTGATGGTGTGTTTTCATTGTCCATCATTCTTTGCTTGAAATTATTAGCTGGCAGATTTCTGTTAAAGAAAGTATGTTGCAGGAAAATGACAGAAAGTAATAACAACAATTCTGCAGAGAGAATTGGATCTGTGATATATTCGCCAATAGATAAAGAGATGGATTCTTTTGACAAGGTTTGTCCCTCCATTTAAAACTGTAGTTCATTACATGTGCAACTTTTGGCATTTCATGTTGGGCTTCAGAACATGTGGCTTCACCTCATGACTTCTTGCGCAAACAGTAAACATAAGTCATGATGGCTTTACCTTTCCTTTTGGCTTGTTTTAGCTTGTTCTCAATGTTAATGCATCATTCTTGATCCCAATTGATGGAAAGATGACAAATATCTAAATAAGTTGGGGCAAATCCTTGATATTTATGAAGTCAGAGACCCATCTGACAATAATGAAAATTTTCTTTTTTTAATCATTGATGGTACATTGAAGATAATTCTTTCTGGGCAGGGAGGGTGAGTGTTAACTTGACAATTGAATGGGACAAGGAATTTGGTGATTTGAAAATTAGATATGCATCTTTTTAATTAATAATAGAAAAGGTGAATTTCATTTCTTAGTGGTTGATAGACAGAAGGAGGGATAGAGAGAAAAGGGAATAAGTTAGAGGGAATGCAATGTTTAAAAGGAGGTATATAAGGTCTTATCTTTTGCCTAATGCTTATAGAGTACACTTGGTTGCCCTTTTCTGTTTGGCATCAATTCCTGATATTTAAGCTCAATGCAGGGATCTCAATGGAACAGCATTGGAGTGTATTGCTTTTTGGAATTTATCAAATGCTACTTACTATGCCATGCATTTGTTGTCAGGCATTGGAGAGTGTTGAAATAGCTTTGATAAGACTAGAAAAACTGCTTCAAGAATTGCATGTGTCAAGCTCTAACTCTGGAAAAGAGCAATTAAAAGCTGCTTGTTCTGATCTTGAGAAAATAAGAAAACTTAAAAAAGAGGCTGAATTTCTGGAGGCATCTTTTAGAGCAAAAGCAGCTACTCTTCAGCAGGTATTATTTTCATTTTGTTTCAACATGCACTCTACAGCAAATCGACTACTTCTGATCACACTTTCTTTTACCCACAGCTGGCATGTACTTACAGATGTGTGCATGGGTCTGTTTGGATGCATATATGTATTTACTTAGTTATATAGATCCTCTGCAATATGGCATATTTTATGTTTTTAAGTGGTAGTTTGATCATTTTCTAAACGTGGCTGTGATATGAGAATTGTTAATTATTGTGTTTATTATTACTAACAGATTTGTTGCATCTGTCAGTAATAAAGATGTAGAAAATTTCCTACTAATTATTTCATAGTCAAATCATTTGTTGAAAATCCGAGGCAAAATCCACATTCTCTACGTGTTATTTTCTTTTCCCTGTATGCTTTAGGTTGGCTTTAATTGAAAATCTGATGTAAACAATATGTTCCTTTTAATCAAAAAGAGTTCAGTCATTCTTTTCCTGTTTTTATTTTACAATATCTGCTTTGGACAAGAATTTTTATCATACAATTGTTCTCATATTTGTTGGAACTTGTTTAAATTCTTATTTATCTTACTGATATCTTAATACTGATCTTCAAGGGAGATGATGAAAGTAATTTGCAGTATTCTGTTAGTGAGCAGCAGCAGCAGTACTTACAAGGGAAAAGGAGCAAGAATGCCAAGATGAGATCAGATAGGAGCAACAGGTATGAAACCTCTGTTGTATGTTTGATCTGTTTATGACAAGATTTTGATTTATTTTTAGCTGAATAGTTCTTCCTTTCTTTTCCTACTACTTGTTTTTGTGAGTTGTCAGTAAATCACGAGGACTATGGAACTTCTCTGTACGCTTTCCAACCAAGAAGCCTGATCCTGAGTCAGCACTGACAGATGGAACTGTATGCACTGCCTTCTTTGCCTATGATAGTACTTGTTTATGCATCCAATCCTTTAATGTGCCTTGAGAATTCTCTGTTAAATTATTAGTTTATTTTTATGAATCCTTACTTGATGTTAGTTTAAGTATAGAGTTGAGTAAAAGCTAACACCTATTGGATAATTATTAAGTATGTCTTTCCACAAGGGTTGTGTCTTCTGTGTATTCTCTGTCTGCTCTAAAATTCATTAGATATGCAACTAGGATAATAGATTAAGATAGGCCATTCAATAAGTAGTTCAATTCCTGCTTATGGCTAGTACCTGACCAAATGCTCTTACTGCACTAATACCGTCTCATATTTCTGTCTTGAGGATATGGTAGATTATGATGGTCTAATATTTAAGAACGATGTATAATCCAAGAGTTTAAAATTTATTCCTGAAATCCTTCGAAAAAATGTTGATATTGATGCAAATTTATTTCTCAAGTTGAAGTGTGAGCTAGATTGCGAAATGATTGGGCCTTTCCCAGATATAGCAATTAAAATTTGTCTCCGGTTCTTATACAAATTGAAATGGCTTGGAATCCTACTATTTTATGGAGACGATCTGGTTGCATTACTGTTTAATAGTAAGTTTTATTTCTAGGTAAATAATAGGCCTAGTGAATAATAAATCCAAAATCATTGGCAACTGTTCTAAAAGTTATCAATCCTGGTGAAATAATTTTGGTTGATGCTACTGGTCAGTTTCTCTCTTTTGAAAATTAGGACTTCTAACCTTCTTCCCTTTGGTACATGAAAATGGGTAAGGAGATAACATGGCTTAGCAGGAGAAACTAACTGGAATCCTTAATTTCATAAGGATGGGAAACGACCAGTGCTACATCTAGGTACAAGATTAAAGTGTATTTATGCTATTTGAGGAAGTGATCACAATTGAAGGACTGCAATATTGGATTTTATTGATAATTACTCATAAATAATAGTTCCTTGGATTGAATGGGATAGAAAATTATTGTACCGAGGTCCACAATACTTGCAAATTTTACTACCACAAATCATTGGAATCTTTTTCTTGATAAATGGTTGCAAATGGAAAACTCTGACACCCTTAAATCCCACCACTGTTGTAACATTAATGAATGTAAACCACACCATAAAGAACACCTTCTATGTTAGCTCTATTTGACCTGGTTCTATTAGAGGACAAATTGGTGCAATGCGTCTCGTCTGCTGGGAAGATAAAAGCTATTGTTAAATGACCATTGCAAGATTTTGACTGTTATTCTGCTATGAGAAAATTATGTGCCTGTTGTTTGTTATTTCACATGATAGCATGCTGAAGTCTTGACTTCTTTGCTAGTTGAGCTGCAAAACTAGTTTCTGCTCTATCATAAATGAGGTAGCAAAAAGGACCCCTTTTTCTCATTTAACATTCTCAGACAAGTGATGAAATGCATTAAATTATGCAAAAAGGCCCCCTTTTCTCATTTAACATTTTTGGACAAGTGCTGAAATGCATTAAATTAAGGATATGATGACATGAAATGGTATTTGATTGTTTTTTATTTGCGCAGGCTTTTAGTTCTCTATACTATTACTATAGAATGGTTTCCCTAATTTTGTGTGCATGGAATTAGTTTGTGGAGTTGTATAAATTTTAATTTTGGAAGTAAGTCAGTATGTTATTTGACTTGGTGAATGCAGGGAGATGAACATATTGAGCAAAGTACCTCAGATGAAGGCATTGCAGAGACGGGATCAAATGAAATTCTCCGTTTTGAACTTTTAAGGAATGAGCTAATAGAACTAGAAAAACGGGTTCAAAGAAGTACTGATCAGTCTGAAAATGTAAAGGTCTATCTCGTGCTTTTGACCCCTCTTAGGTGACATTATTATTTTGGTTTTTTCTTGCATATGGTCATTTCAACTTGATTGAATAATTGTGAGAACCAAGAGTTCTCCAATGCATAATATTGTTTACAAATTTGAAACATTGTTACCTAGCCTTGTGTTTTTAACACTCTTGCTAGTCTACTTGAAAATGTTTTTTTTTGTACCTTATCCTCTTATTCGTGATTTTTCTTCCTTTTCCCTTCTTTCATTAAATTGTTTTATTATCTATACAATAAATAAATAAATGAATTGTTACTTTTTACTTTTTAATTATACAAGCCATGATTAGGTTCCTTTATACCAGGGTGAAACTAGGAAAAATTGTATGGGGTGCAAAATAAATTTTTTTTATATTTTTATGAATCAAAATGTAATTTTTCATAAAGGAATTTTTTTCTGGGGGGTGCAGTGGCCCCCTCGGGTCCACCTAGTTTCACCTCTGCTTTATACCATTACTTCATCACGATTACTATCTATTACTTGTCACCAGATCTGATAATAATCTAGCTCTGAACATGATTTCTTAAGAAATTTAGTCAGGTTTCAGATGGAAACAAACTTGAGCCTAGCATGTAATCTTGTCTATTTATGCTTGGATGTTCCTCCCCGGTGACATTTTTAATTAGTTAAAAATGCATCTTTTTCAGGATACCAAAGAAACTGATGGCACTGACAATTTCAATGAAGATGCTGGAAGCGGTCAACTGATCCAAGTACAAAAGAAAGACAATATCATTGAAAAATCATTTGACAAGTTAAAAGAAACAAGCACGGTATGATGAGTACTTTCAATAAGTAGTAAATAGCTATTATGATATTGGAGCTCTGGCTTCAAGATGGTCCCAGGGTGAAAATATTGGTTTTGGATTTCTCCAGCTCGTTAAAAGTATATGTACCTTATACATTTAATGGCTTTCTGAGAATGGTTGACTTAATGGTGCTGTACAATAGTTTAGCTGGTGTATTTATTGAAATAAATTAGTTGGAGGTCCATTTATTTCAGCACTTGGAGCAGTTTTGTAATTTTCAGTTTTTTCTTTGAAATATGTCTAGACCAGTTTGGGGTCCTCTGTTTTATTTTAGAATTTTAGCTTGAGTATTTTTTGCCTTGGGATGATGTTATTCCTCTTAGTTTGTTTTGGAGTTGAGTGCCTTTTAGAATTAGGACCAATTTTGGAATTACTTTACCTTTAAGTTTTAGGATTAGTTTGGTTCTATAAACGCTCATGCTTGTAATGCTTTACTATTATATTTTAGTCAATCAAATTTCAGCAATTCATGCTTTAACTTTTAATTTGTGCAATGCAATTCTAACCCTAGGAAGCCCGATAGGAGTGAGTCACCATTGCTTTCAGTGCCAATACAAAACTGTTCTTAGGCACAATTCGTTCTACATGTTTCTGCTGCATATTATTTTGAATATCAAATTCCTTCTTGTAATATAATTAAATTGACTTGAGTCAGGTTTATATCACAAAATCAAATTTTCCACAGTAATATCTTTTTAAAAAAAGAGTTTGATTTCATGAATCATGAGCCCCAACTGCACCCCTTCTCCAGCCCACACCCCAATTATCTCTTGCTCTTGCTCTTGCTCTCTCTCTCTCTCTCTCTCTCATATTTCTATTGCAATATTTGGACTTACTAAATTCATCTATTCTCAATAGCATAAATCTGAGGCATACCTATGGTGGTGAGATTGTGGCTAGAAATGTTAGATCAACTTGTCAAATTGATCGCCAGTTACCCAAATTGAGCAAACTACCTGACAATCTTTTATCTCATGTATAACTTGACTTTTGCGGTTCTTCTTTTTGTTGATTCTTTTTCTTTGTGCAGTGGAGATCTCATGTTCACTTTGTGTAATGGAGATCTCCTGTTCATATGAAGACAATGGGAAAAATAAATGTCTCTTTTTGTACTCTAGTTAGCACATACTAATACTCATAGGAAAAACATATGCAATCGCAAAATCAAATCCTTAATTTCTTTGAATTGTTGATAAAAAACATCACAATTTTGAACCTTCTTTCTTCATGTTGATATTTTACATGGACAGATTTCTGTCCATCAGTATTTGGTCCCTTGACTATTGGTATTCTGGTTGCCATCAATATTTGTTGTGTTAAGTTGTTAGCTCCTCAGTGATGGTATGTGGTTAAACTATGAGCAGGATGTCTTACAAGGAACTCAGCTTCTAGCTATTGATGTTGCTGCTGCATTGGGATTGCTTAGGAGGGTCTTAATTGGAGATGAGTTAGCAGAGAAAGAGAAAAAGGCTCTCCGGAGAACGCTGACTGACTTGGCATCAGTTGTTCCTATTGGTATTCTAATGCTTCTTCCAGTAAGTCTGAACTTTAATATTCTTTCAAATTTCATAATTTATCACTGTAGTTTTGTTGATTCTCATACTCATCTTTATATTAAGCTTGCAAACTGCTATGTTTCATTGTCTCCCATCTGAAGTTTGACATGGTTTATTACTTTCATGTAAAATTTCCCCGTTTTCAGAGAATCTTTGGTAGATTAGTTGCAATTGGAACAAATGATTTTGGATATTCGTGAAGTTTGCTTCATTGCTTTATAAAGAATGGTTGTTTTTCCTCAGATTCTTATTTTTTTCTCGTCTATGCCTGTTCTGTCTTCCTCTGTGTTTTTATGCCATGACGGACTTCATTTTCTTCTTCTTCTTCCTTTTTTTTTTTTTTAAATTTTATTTTATTTGCTCATTAGACTTTATTAAAAGAGATGCGTCTGTTTTTACCTGCAGATTCTATTTTTGTTCTCGTCTATTGCCTGTTCTGTTCTTTTGCGATCTGTTGTTTTCCTATAGCCATGACGGACTTCATTTTCTTCTTCTTTCTTCTTTTTTTTTGTTTCTAGTGTTTAACATTTTTTAGTTTTATTTCTCAAATTTTTAATTCTTAGAACGTACCTGGATGGTAGTCTTTATGAAATTGAAATGCGCTATTTAATTATACAAATATATTGTATTGTAAGTAAAAGGTATTTCTGAACAAAAATAAGCTAATTTACATTTATATCCTGTAGTATAATTTCCATGAAGTATCTTGATATGTCATTTTGCTTCAAAATTTTCTTCTTCTTCTTCCTTTTTTTTTTTTTTAAATTTTATTTTATTTTAAATTTTAATAGAACGTCCATGGTAGTCTTTATGAAATGAAATGTTTAATTATCAATATATTGTATGTTAGGTATTCTGAAAGATAAGCTAATTACATTTATATCCTGTATATATTTCCATGAGTTCTTGATATGTCATGCTTCAATATTTTACAAACTATCGCATCCCAAGTTTATGCCATTTTGCCCATGCCCATTCATTAGAGTTGTATGCCTAGTGTGCCATGCAGGGTAAGGGTTGTGGGTGTTCAAAGTATCTAGTTAACTGATTCCCTCCCCTCCTATCCCAATAGCAATGTCACATGGTGGATATTCATATTTTTGGATTCTATTCAGAATATTTGTAAACGTATAAATCTTGCACTTTTTCTATCTAGAACTTTACATCATCGCACTTTTTCTATGTAGAACTGTACATCATACTTTTTCTATGTAGAACTGTATGTACATCATCACATGTTATTCTAGTATACTGCTAACTATGAAGTACCCTTCTTACAGCCATGGAAGTTTCATTCATTTTCATTTAGTTCCCAGGTCTTTGCCCTAGCCATAAAATTTGGCTCAGGCAAGGCCTATGCATGGTTGGCTCCTTTTTAGTTACTATACAATAATCAATCTAAGCACCGAGTACTTTTACCACCATTACTGAAGTGAAAAAATAAACGTAAGAAATGTTCAAAATGCAAAATAAGGCTTTGGAAAGCTGGGAGTGACTATTAAGCATTGCCAGGATTAGTATGCTTATATTCTGCAAGCGATTATAATTGGCAGTCAAATTATACCATTCTAACGAGAAAGAAAAGAATCTGTTAAATGTCTTCACATATGCATTTGTAAAAGACATAATCTATTACTGCTACATTGACTAATTATGGTCTACATATTGTACTGAATAAAAGGATAATTCATGTCCAACAGGTTACTGCAGTTGGGCATGCGGCAATGTTGGCTGCCATTCAGCGATATGTACCATCTTTGGTCCGTGATTTCTGACCATAATAGCTTCCATTTTAAATTCTTCTTTGAATGTGAAATATCTAGCTCTCAGAGGACAAATAATATGCTCTTTGGCAGATACCTTCTACATATGGACCAGAAAGGCTGGAGCTCCTGAGGCAACTTGAGAAAATGAAGGAAATAGAAAGCAGCGAAACCGATGGCAATGAGAATGAAAAGGAATTGGCCTAGTTAGAAGCAGCCAGATTATACACAGACGTGTGCATTTTCCTCTTGTTTTTTCGGCCAGGTAAAAATCACTTGGTTCTGAATCCCATTGCAACTAAATGTGCATAGAGAATTTCATTCCATATGTCCGGTATCCCAGGCAGGCACCAGTGGCTGCAGTCTTGTGGAGCGGGAAGCGGAGTTCCTGGTTCACGATGAACTGAAGGATGGCCGTCAAACCTGAACTGTGTCAGATATGTTATGTTCAAGTACTGAATTTTGCTCTTTCTGTATTCCAATTCCATTTGTTTAATCATACTGGAAATCAATTGATTGTTCACTGGCTCAGGCTCTAAATTCATATCGTTTGTCTCTGGTTGCATATCCACATCACATCGACCGTTATTATTCCACGTACCATTCCTGCAAATTTCACTCTGTTAAAATTTCATTTGACAACATTTACCCTAACCCAACACTCCCTCTCTCCCTTTCTCTCTGTGCAGAAAAATACTTGCCTGTAATGTACTGGAGAGAAGCTACGAAAGAAAATGTGACTTCTTTCTGGATCTAAATTCTCTATTGCCCATGACTTCCATGTCTGTAGAGATCTTTCTAGTGCTTCCATCACATTCATTGACACATTTATTTTTCCTCCGTCCTCAAAATAGCAGCCCCTGTAATTACCAGACCCGGTTATTTAAGCTGAAACAGAACGAGTAATACTATAACACTCCTGAGACTAGTCATAATTAGCAGCTTAACACTTTGATCTCTAAAACCAACTCCAGGAGGAAGAGTAAGATTTTGCAGGAGTTAACTGTTTATTATATAGTGATGAATTTATATTCTGCTTCATGTTTTTAGAAATTAATGTGTGATAAATTAAGGGTGTTCTAATGATTGAAAAGGAAAAGTTTGAGAGAGAAGTCAGAAGGTTATACATTTTGACAGTTTTAAAATCATTCCACCAATGGCCTCCACTGAAAACGAGAATGTCTGCCCCAACCCAACTTCTGGAGAACCAGTGCATCTTATCAACCTTAATGGCTAATCTCACGTTGGCTGGTGCATTAGGCGGTGGATGACCGATGACTACCAGGAAGGGAACCCTGTAGTATTGGACAGTGAGATTATAGTCACTGAAACGCACAGAGAGGAAGCCTCTGTGATGTTTAGAAATGGAGCGTCCATTTTCTTCATATATTGTTGACTTATTGGAAACTCCCTGGCTTAGCATGCATAAAAAAGACTCCCATTGGTTTCTCCCTATTGAATCTCCAGCAAAAACTATCCTTCCATTCCTGCTCCTCTCTAGAAAGTCTCTGCCATTAAATCTGAATGTGGAGATATAAGAAAAGATATCAAAATGGCAATCTCAATAACCGCGGGAGACAGCCCTATTATAATAACATAACCGAAGGACATAGCCCTATTATAATAACATAACTTATATTTGTCTCTGAATAAAATTGTGTTGGACAAAAGCCTTTTTATACATTGGAACTAACTTTTAGATGGCGTTCTATGAAAAAATTACTCAATAAATGTCTTTAATTTTGCCGAACAAATTGAAATCAAACCATGGTAATTTTGACTAAGCATGTTAATCTATAAATGACAAGTGTCAATCAGTTTTTCATTTCAAAATTTTTTCAACCGGTTCTAAAATCATAAAAACCCTTGTTCCAACTTCAATCGGTTCCTATTAATCACCTGGTTCCAATCAAACCAATCATTATGATTCTTTTATTTCTTGGTTCCGTCCAGTTCGGTTTGAATCGTTTTCAGTTTTCAAATAGGGCCTTTTGCCCTAATAACAAACATTCATGCGTGAACCAACAATACACGACCATGCAAACCCATGCAAGAACCGCTATTTCTCTCGTCATATATAGGTCAATAAACAGAGAAGATTTTTAACTAATTCCTTACCTTGGTATATCACAGCCTTCTGGCTGCCATCGCCAATTGAGATACTCTACGTCTTTCCTTCCACACTCCCGGCACCGGAATCCGGGATCAAGAAACGGGCAGGTTTCATCATAAGATTGATTCTTGTACCTTTCATCCCTAACCCATCTTCCATAAGAGTAGTCACAAATAGGTAATTTCTTTGAAGAGAAACCAAAACGGAAAAGTGTTTGCTTTGTATCAAAAGGGGCAATAAGAGGACTCAGAATAAAGACTGAAGATACTATAACTACAAGAAAAGAGATTGTCAAAACAACTTCTCTTTTGATTATAATGGGGAGAGAGAAAAGTTGGTGTTTTTGGATTGTGGGTTGATGATCCATAAGAAGAGGGAGAACAAGGATGTTCTTGTAATAGTTTGAAGAGGTCTTTGAAGGAGAATTATTTTGTGGCTGTTATCGGTTTTGAGATTGTTATTTGATTGCTTTTGGTAAGAAATTAAGGGTAATAAGGTTCATAATTTGATTTTCTATATATAGGAAAACTTGTTTTTCTTGTTAATATTATCATTAAAATGCTTTAAAGAGTTTGTGTCCTAATTAACATTCATCTCAGAAAAAGAAAAAGAAGAAATTGTCTCACATTAAAATTCTTTAATTCCAAACAGATACGGTATCTATGCGAGAGAGGAAAGCAATTGAATCAACAAAAATAAATAAATAAATAAATAAATAATTGTAGACTAACTCAAACGGTTTTATATTACCTATAAATGTTAATTTAAAAATTAAACTATATATTGTCAATTTTAAGAGGCCAAATGCATAAATTCAACGGAAAAAAAATCTTATGTCACTTGTTTTATAGGGGCAGTAAGATGGTTAATTCTTCTAAAACTTGAATTTATTCTTTTGGATGTGATAGGAAAAGTTTATATTTAAAAAAAAAAAAAATTGTTTCAACCCAAAATGAAAATGATCATCATAAATTCATAATCATTAAGATGAAGAGTAATCTCTCACTTATCAATTAAAAATAATATGGGTAATATTTAGTGCTTACAAAATTAATTAGTTGTTTTGGTAGCTGTTAATTATTTTAGTAGTGTTTAGCCGTTACTTATTTGAATAGAAGCTAATCATTATAAATAGTGTTTAGCATTTTAACCGGTTAAAATGTTAAAATCTATTTAAAAAGTTGTTGTCAAACGCACCCTTAAACATAATGCTAATCAGAAGAATTTACGTCCTCATAATTCCATCAATAAAAATTTTATACCTTCTATAAGTTATAATCAAAAGAAAAAAAAAAAATTTGTTCAAGGTTTGTTGAAATGATAAAACGCAAATACTGCAACAAAACAAAAATGAATACTTTTGACAATGAAACAATTTTTTCCCTTCTTTTAATTAAATAGGAATGCATCAACAAAAGGATGTCTTATTGCATCATGGGTAAATTATATTAGTGGTATCTAACCTCTTAAGATCATATAATTATTTGTCATTTTTAGTTAATTACAATTTGTCATTAAACTGTGATTTTTATTACAATGAGCTAAATAAAATATTTCCTTTAAAAGAAAATTCACATTTCCTTCTAATATATTAGCATTATGTTGTATTAAACCTTTTTCTAAAAATCTCAACTTACAAATTAAGCCTTTTTCAGCGGATAATATTTTTAGATCAGGACGACATTTTAAACTTTTAATCTGAAAAGGGTTTTCAAATTAATTAAATGAAGTACGAAGCTATAGGACCATTATGATTAGGTTTTTAATGATGGTTTAACCTACAAAAACATCCTGAGATTTACTATTTGTTACAATAACACTCTAAGCTCAACTTCACCCCCTTCGCACCCTAATTTAGAAAATTTAAAAATATTGTCATCTTAAAATCAGAATAAGCTAAGATTTTGAATAAAATAATATTAAAATGTGTCCTATCAATTCAACTTGGTTAACTTTGAAAATTGTCAAAACTCACCGTTTTGGAAATTTGAATCTCTAATTCTCTCTTCCTAATTTCATGGCACCAAGAAGGGCCTTCTCCCTCAACAGTCTCCTGTTCCCTTAACAAAATCCCTAAATGTCATATTTATCTTCTTACTTTTGAATTTCTTAACTTTCTTCTTCTTGTTGTTGAGCTGTAGCTTTGAATGTGTTTATGGAATCTGGAATTGAAGGGAGCGCAAGGTCTGTGGACACCGCTCTTCTTGATCGATCGGGATTGAGATGTGGGCATAATCTTTGTGTCTAAATAATGATATTGTGGAGCAAAACAAATCTAGGTAGACAGTTTTATTGATTTCCTTATTAGAGAAAGAAGGTAAAGCAATACTGAGTTCATTCCTCTTTTATTTTCACTTTGGTCTGTCACCGTTGAATTGCAATTTGGTGTATTTGTTTTAGGAAGGGGTGCCTAAAAACTATGAGTTCTTTAAGTGGATGGATAGTGAACTCTCATCCAAGAGTATGGAGTTTAGGAAAAACATGTTTGCAAGACTGATGGGCTGAAAGCAAGTGTGCAAATGTTGAAGGAGAAGAATTTGGAGTTGAAAACAAAACTGGAGGAGGCTGAGAAGAAGGTAGAGCAAAAGAAAGCATTAAGAAGGAATCGAAAAGCCCAAATATTGATTCTCACTGCTAAAAATAGAACACTTAATTCCCAATAAGAACAAAAAGAGAAAATGAGGTTAGTTGGTTGAAGTCATTCTATTTATGAATTGTGTTAATGTGCTTGATGTACTGGGTTGTGTAGAACCTCAGTTATGTTAATGTGCTTGTTTTGTATTACTGTGTTAGTTGTTTTTATATCCAAAAAGCTCATTTAATGTGCTCGTAGAACCTGATTTCCAATAGAATGTAAAAGTAGACATTTGGCTATTTTATCTGTAAGCGCTTTTCTTCTAACAAGTGAAAAAAAGTAAGTCGATCCTATAATTCGCCTAATAGCATATGGAAATTCTTTTTTGTAAACCTTGGAGGAAATAGTGAAACATAATGCTAATGGCGCACCAATCTTTAATTGTACAAAGCTCATAACTTTTTCAATCAAAACATATATCACTCTCTTTAATCTTTCTCTCCACTCTTCTTTTCTCTAAATCTCCATTTCACTTTGTCAAATCTCCTCCAATCCCATGTAGATCTCTCATCTCCTAAACCCAGAACCAGAGTTTGGCCTTCTCTTGCTCCTCTTCCCCACCCAATGGCCTCCTCAACTACCTCTCGCGCCACTTTTGACTCTTCAAGGGGAAACTTTTTCCTCTCGATTCCTTGTCTTTCTTTGTTCATTTTCCTTCACTTTTATATCCTCATCAAAACAGCCCAATCCCATTTCTCTATTGTCACCACTAAACTCACCAATCACTTAAACCTTTCTCCGAGTATGGGTGGAGTGACCCTTTCGGCTTTAGGCAATGGGGCGCCCGATGTTTTTGCCTCCCTAGCTGTAGTTCGTTCTGGGAAGTCTAGAACTGGGTTTGGGGTTATACTATGTGCTAGTACTTTTGTTTCTGCTTTTGTGGTTGGATTCACGGCGATATATGCTACACCATTTAATGTGGATCCTGGGTCTTTTGTGAGAGACGTGGGGTTTTATTTGGTGGCAATTTTGTTTTTTTATTCTGAGTATTTGAGTGGGGAGATTACATTTGGAAGCTGTGGGATTTGTTGGGTTTGTGTTTTGGATGGATTTGGGTTTTATATGGAAATTCTCTAACCAGACGAATGTTTCTAGCGTTAGTAAATTTGAGATTCATGTTTTAATTGCACAACTTAAACGTTAAAGATTGTGGAAGGAGGACAGAAAAGTCTTTTCCGCAGCCATAAACAAGGAGTGCGATGACGTGTCATGCCAAGTCATCTGGTGATTAAGATTAAGTGGGTCCCATTTCATATTGACTCATGTTTCTGCCCTCCAGATCAGAAATAGACACCTGATTACTTTTTTTAAATAGTTCAACCACTCAATTGTTAAGATTTTCGGTCCAGACACTAAATTATAAAAAATTAAAAGTCTAGACACTGAAATAGTCAATTATCCAATCAAACATCTTACCCCTTTTTGCAACAGACTGCGCCGCTCTTCTCTCCTTCACCGCTTCACCTCGCTTCGCTGCCCGTGCCCGTGCCTCCAGGTAGCAGTCCTGCTCTTCTAGTGCCACTGCCAGGTTCCTCCATTTCCATTCTCGACTTTTTTTTTATTCTATTCTCAATTTATTTTCTTTCCTTTTTCTCTGTAGGATGACTTCGTTTCTTTTCCTTTTGCTCTCTCTCTCTCTCTCTCTCTCTCTCTCTCTCTCTTTTTAATTATATATATAAACAGACAAAGAAGAGGAACTGTTGAATATATTGTTGAGCCGAGAGAGACAAAGATTGATGTTTAGTATTTTATGTTTTCTTTTATTGGTTTTGTGCAGGTTTTATTTGTTATTTTCCATCTAAAATGGGCTACTTTGTTATTCAAAGCTTCCTGTTAAGTTGAACGAAGCTCATTAATTTCTTGAAAATGTCTAGATACTAAAAGAGAAAAAGAGAAGGGAAATTAGATATTTTGTGTGAGAAACTAGTCAATTTGGAACTCATTAATAACTGTAAATACCAACAGATGGATATTTTGAGAAAATGACATGAAAAGTAGCTCTTTATAATGCAACTAGGCCAGCTAAGGCTGTCAAAAACCTTTTGGTTTTATATAATAACTAACTAATTATTATTTTATTTATTTTGATGTAATGAAAATTTATTACAGGAGAAATGAATTCCAAATTCCCACTTCTGATTACTGAATTGAAAATATGCAGAGGATGCAAATGCATAAGTTTGATTGTGTGTATTATTTATTTAGGTTGAATTTTATTTTTTTTTTTTTTGTTTTTGCTTAGTATTATTATGTATTGTCGTTTTATAATTTTCGTGTTGAAATTGTTTCATTATTTTCAAGTTGAATTTTAATATGAATTTTTTATATATTTTCTGTTGCATTTGAGGTTTGGGTTCGGGTTCGGGTTTCGATGGTTTGAATGAATTTATGATTAAATGTAGTATGCGGGTAATGTTTAAATGGCTTTCTGTTATTATTGGTTTATTTCTTAGCAGATTCGGGGTAGGTGCGGGTACTTAAATTGACAATCGGGTTCGGATTCGTGTTCAGGTAGTTGATTTTTAGTGGGTACCCACCCTGCTGCAATCCCTAATTGCAACCATACCACCAACAGAAGAAAGGAGGAAAAGAAGAAATGAAGCTGAAAGTGGTGTGTAGAAAGGTTTACGATTACGTTCGATACGATCTGAAAGAAATAGCGTTTCCTTCTTCACTGCCAGACCCCCCTCATCTCAAAAAGCGTCGCAAATTGACTTGGCACGAGCGCTTTCTGGTATTTTGCTTCTGTTCTTTACTTTAACTTTATCCACACTGCAGTTTTTATTAAAGCTATGTTTACTTCTGTTCTGTGGTGGTTTATTATTGGGAATTTGGGATTTGCACTTTGTAATAGAGTCGAATTCTGTTGGGATTTTGCCTTGACATGGGAATTGGTTAATTTTACGCCAAAGTCTTTAAAATGGCTACATTTCACATATTTGATTAGTATAAGCATAATCAGTGTACATAAAGTAATTTGTTATTGAAGCTGCAATGATATCATAGCTTGAATAAAGTTAATCAGGTTTTGCATAATGATTCAAGTAGTGAGTGCTTTATGCCTGTGTCTTTCAGGTATTAAAAGAGGCCTCAAGACTTTATGCTGCAAGCTGGGTACGGGATATTGGTCCTGATCTTCGACCGAACGATTATAAGAAGAAGGATGAGGAAAGTGAAGATAGATCCAATGGGACAACAAGAACTTCAACTGAAGGGAAAGAGCCCTCGGTATTTGAAGATCTTGGTAAGAATCCTGACATGGCCTTGTGATTGGTTTCGGTAAACAATCTAGTGATATATATGATATTCGTTTATGATGTGGTTATAACAATTTTTGGGTATTCTTTTTGTTAGCTTTCTTTGATCTAGTTGGGTAATGGATCCTCTTTTTAATTTATTGTATCAGTGGCTCAAATATAGTTAGGAATGTTTTGCTGGTGAGATTGATAAAGAGAGAAAGGTGTTAATATGAATTTTAAGAAATACATAGAGTGTGGACTTGACCTTACTTCATTCTGATAAGAGTTTCTTCATCTAGACCATTAATGTATTTCTGGAATTTGAGGTGGTTGAAAGTTCTAGCTTTTAGTTGTCTTGTTTTGAAACAGTGATTATGTTCTCTTTTATTTGAGGGTGATTGTGGAGCTTTGATGTACATGAGGATTGACATTATTGTACTGTTTTGGTTGATGGGAGGGACTGAGATTATCATGGTTTGGGACTGGTGTCGAAGGGATGTGGAGGTAGAATTGTAAGACTACTACACAGATCAGAAAATATGCTTCCTTCCCCTAAAGTGAGGGAAACTTTATTCATAAACTATTATTGCCTTGTTTAATTTCTTTTATATATAGTAAATTTAATTATATAAGCATTGTAATGCTATCTAATGATTGTAGAGCAGCAGAGCTGAGGTAAGCTTTTCTCTATTTATTTTTGGGTTTTAGAAGGATGGTGGTAGAAGCATGATGAGGATGGCAGACTTGATGGAAGTGGATTCTGAAAAAGTCATTAATATACTTCCTTTCTCTTTATCAGCCATAACAAATCTCTATTTTGCTATAGAAATTTGTGGTCTACCGAGCAGCTAAAGTGATATGTTACTATTGTCTTTTCTTCTTCACTCTTAGTCCTTGAGATTGTTTATTTGAAATCATATGCTTTGGCTACAAAAGTAGCCATTTTTATAGAAATCTCTAGTTGATATGTTTTCCAGGTAAAGCAGCTATCTGGGGGTCGAGTTAGTGAGTTTGTAATTTTGCTAGTTTATAAATCATGCCTCACAATATTATCTTTTCAGAACCTTTTGCTCTGAGAAAGAAATGTGTGGTTTTTTATCCTTTTTTTTTAGGAGAATCTATTGATGCATAAAGGAACTTGAAAACAGCATACATATTTGCTATATGTCACAGGAAAATTATGTTTTAGGAAATCCATAGTGTAAAAAGTTTAGTAGTGAAGGCACCCAAAACACTCAAGAAAGCCTATGTTTGCAAAGATCTGGAAAAGAGTGAAGAGCTATCTAAGATTTTTGTTTGTCATATCAAATGAATATATATTTGGGGTTGGATTTGTGATTGGGATTAAGATTGTGGTTGGGTTGAGGTTGAGGTTGTGGTTGGTGTGGGTTTTGCTCTTCCATGCGCAATCAATGAAATGGTTAGTGTCTACTGCACTGGTATACGGCTGCTGTTGGTGACAGTAGCAGCAGTTTAATAAAAGCGAGTCAGGGCACTGGGTTTGTTAATTTGTTCATCTTCCAGCTATCAGAGAATTGGCTCTTGGATCTTCAGTCCTCCATGGTTGGATTTGTTTTTGGACTTTATATTCTGAGCTGTTGAACTTACAGATTTATATTTCAATAATGTTAATTTTTATTTTTTGTGATGAATTTTTTTTTTTCCAAATGTTACAATTTTTTATTATTTAAAAATAAAAAATATAAAAGATAATGTTTTAGTTTGAATTGATTGTAAAATAAAAGTTGTGGCTTAATTATAGTCAAAGTTGATTTTGGGCCTAACTGGATGTTGGCAGAAATTTCAAGGGCCTAATTGACTTATATTCCAATATCTTTTACTATCTTTCTTTGTTCTTGTGAACTTAGGCCATGTTTAGTAAGCTGTAACAATATGTAATGTAATTAAATACATTTCTAGTGTAAACAGTGCTTTATTGAATCTATTTGATTACATTATATTGCAATACGTTTATGGCTTATCAAACATGTCCTTATGCTTTGTTTTATGAGTCGTAATGGAACATGATGTAATATGCATAGAAATGCCCCTCATTACATCACATTACGATTCATTACGACTCATCAAAGTTAGCCTTCAGGTTTTTTGCGTTAGGCTCTGATATTAATCTTCTTTTCTGCTGAAAATTAAATTAATAGCTGTTGCTGCGAGAGGAGGTATGGAGACATTAAGGCCTGCTTTGCAGCGGGTTTACATGACAAGAGCTTCAGCCTATAGAGATGCTCTCAAAAGTTTTATAGAAGGATATCAGGAAGGTATTCAGCAGGTCATGGAGAAGAAGGAAGAAGCTAAATCTAAACAGGAGAATGATACACCCAATAAGTCGACCTGACTCCTCATTACTCTAACGAGGCATTGGAAATATTTATTTTTTTTCTAGATGCTAGTAGTAGTCCTTTAGATTGAAACAAGTTACTGCCCTAACAAAAAGAATATAAGAAGTTAGTAGTTTGTTTCATCCTTTTATGAGGGTTGTATTGTACATTAAGCAAGTCTGGAAACTATGGATGCGCTGGAAAACATTTTGTACATATACTTTCTGTATGCAGACTAAGAAATCATAGATAGTACCGCAGTTTTTCAGTCCTTTGATTTGTGCTCACCTCTTTAATATGGCTTTAGAACTTTTTGATGATATGTTCTTCCAATTTTCAGTTTTCTGACAATAATTTTGTTGTTTTGCTTGTGGAAAAGTAATGAATGCTTAAATATTGTTTGCTTCTGGGGGAAAAAATTGATGTGGCTGAGGCATTTGTGACGTCCCTGCCATTGAATTGGGTTGTCTGTATGAAGTGCAACTCTGTGTTGCCCGGCAGCAGGTTTTATGCAAAATTATTTGTGCTTTCATGTCAAGGGAACACAAAAAAAAAAAGATTTTTAAAGTGCACCTCATTCAATCTAATTACAAAGGTTAAATGGACATTAATGTAAGTCTTGCTTTTGATTCTTTTAATTCTTTTCATTTTGGTTCCTCTCTTTCATCCTTTTTGGCGTTGCTTTCTCTGCTGAACTGTCTAAATCTTTCATCTGACTGCAGGAGCATTCAGGAATTTCCCTTTGTCTTTATCTTTTCCTTTTTCTATTTTTTCTCTCTATCTCAATGATTATAAAATGAATATTGATTACTTATTGAGTTAATGGTCAGATTGAAAATGTGCTCAGTCAGCACACATCCTACAGAACTATCATATTCAGCTTCTTGATGCTGCTTATTTTATTAGTTTGCTTTTTGGTGATATCGCTGCTGTGAAGATGATCTCTAAGCGCTTAATTGCTTCTGTGAGGAAGATTCTATTGCCGTTACTAAACTTTGAAGTGAAAAGCATCTATAATTAAGATACAACTTAGATCTGGCAGCTGACTGTTTCATGGAGAAAATGTATGTGGCAGACACATTTGCTCGGGAGACTCGGGTGAATATATAACATGCAATGTATTAAGAGAAAGAAAGAGGATTGATTATGACTTGCATGATTTGAGAAACTGAGTGGACACTATTGTATTAGAAATTGGCTTCTTAGTATACCGTTAGTGAATTGCATAGTAATAGCCTTTTAATGAACGTTGCTTTGATGATCAGATGGATAATATTTGAGGAATCATTCTCTCTTACTGTGTTAGAGCAGAGTTTACTTTCAGTGAGAAACTGTTTGCGGGCTTTTTTTGTTAGGTGATATTTTTAGTGGGGTTTCCACGTCCGACCTGCTGCTTGATGATAGCTTTTGCCGGAGTCTTTTCAAGCGCATGAGTCCTTCCTTCCTTTAAGTCTTCTCAGGGATATGATATTGCAATCAGCATCTCATGACCAACATCTGATATATTTGTGCGTATCAGGGATGGAACCTTGGGAACAAGAAATTGATATGTTTCTTTTCTTTCAGATACCACGCATCTTTTCTTATCATGAGATTGAGATGAAATGTTATTTTCAAAAACCAAGACGATGTTTGAATGGTGTTTTATTTTCTGGTGATTAATTGATAAAGGCATGCTTAGCTGTTGCAATCTGTTAAATTTGTCATTTGTATATTTTTCAATGTTCTATCTGTGAAGTTGTATGCTTTTTAGTGTGTGTTAGATGGTGTCAATACAATATCAACATATCAACATCATTACTTGATTAATTACTCGGGTTCGTTTTTCTTTGGTAGGTGCTAAAGGGAGGAAAATGTGAGATTGAGTCAAGACTCCAAAAGTGAAAAAGATTGATAAGAAGAAAAGCTAAGTGGGATAAAGAAATACTCACATGGTGTTTCTTTATCTTTACTGTACTTAGTCATGCATGATTGAGAATTATTACCAGACAAATGCATTATGCAGGACAAGTCCTTTCATTCCTTTGATTGGCCACTGCCTTCATGCGAATGATACCAACACATATTCAGGGACCCTCCCACTTGTAGAGCACTAAAAAATGGACACCTTCTCTAGCAGAGGTCAATGGGTATCTCTTCTATATTAATCTTTTTGGGCCCTGACAATCACTTGACACTGTTTCTGATCATTCATTCAGGTAATGCACATATCTCTGCTAGTCTTTCGTTATTCAATGTATTGCTCTATTATGTCAATCTTTTCAGTTCATTGCAACTTGTACTTGAACATGTGGTCACAAGCTAGAAGGCTCTGGCCTGTGACACTGTACAGAGTGATTTGTTGTCTAAGCTTTGCTTTAAATACTTTAAAACTGTTTCTAATTGGTGGAGTGCAATATATTTGTTTTATGCTTCTTATTTGCTCAAGTCTTTGATAAGCCAAATACCTATATTTGTCATTAGAATGAGCAGTGTATATATTGTTCTGAGTTTGACAATTGGCACTTGTTGTCTACTTTTATGATAACATTTTAGGCCTTGGTATATTGTTAGCACGTACTCAATTTTTTCACACTTAAAATTGTTTCTGTTGCTGATTAGGATGTTTGAAGAGACCTGGGAAAATGGAACCTAAATCATTTACCAGATAGTGCTCAGCTTGCCTTCATATTGGATGTCTTTTCTTTTAAAAGTAGAAAGCTTAAAATGTTGAATTTATGTTCCAATAAAATATATAATTATAGGATATACCAGGTTGTTTATTTACACCTGTTTGATTTAAATGGATTCAAAGCATTGTATTCATTTTTAAATGATGAAATGTGGTTACCTCTGCTGAATTTCATAAAATTATATTCCTGATTTGTCCTTCGTATCAGGTTCCAATGTTCTTGTAAAATGGTTTCTCTGATCAGATTAAGTTCTTAGTTACTGAAAACCCTTCTGAGGACTGAATTCTTTCAGAAGGAATGCTCATGGCTGCAAATTGCAATTAAGTTTGTTACTTACGAGCATTAAACCCTCATGTTGATAGAAATTGTGTAAACACGCCTTGTATTATATTTCAGACTTTTGCTCTTTAAAGATTAAGACTCCTTTTTTTTTTTTTTTTTTAAACTTGAAAATTATTTTTCAAATTTATTTGATATTTGGAATGTTCAGAAAAATTAATGACGAAATATTTTTCTAATTAAAAGGAAAAAAATTAAACATTTTCTTTATAAGCATTTTTTTTCTTATTATAATCTTATAAATCCACGTGTAATCACTATTATTAATCACCGCTAATCATAATCATATTTACATAATCAATCGCTCACTTGGTAATTCCCACTGCTTATTAGTTTTATTTTTTTTTATATATTTAAAATATGAAATTTTTATAATTTAAAATTTTTTTTATAATTTTATAAATTAAAGTATTTAATATTTTTAATTAATTTTCATGAATTATTTAAAAAAATATTTTCTTTCAAAAACGTTTTTCTCAAATAAATTATTTTCGTAGGGAGAAGCGGGTTAAATAGAATATGGTCTTCTTATTTTTGCCCGGTTGGTGTTTCCATTGTACTCCAAAAGCAAGGATCAATTTTTCTGCCGACTAATATAAAGTATGTTCGGATGCACACGTGTGAATGGGTAAAGAAGTAAGAGAATGCTGTGTGGGTTATTGTCATATTATAAGTTATAACTGGTTAATTATGGGCATGAGTTGAATGTGTTGATGAAGTGTAAAAATTCAGTTTGGTTGCTACTTTTTTCCTTTTTGGTAGATTAATGAAATTAACCATTTTTGCCTACCAAGTACAAATTCTAAGCAATTTAGGGCAACAGGAATGCACTTGCTCCTCATACACCTAGAGTGCAATGGACAACAATTGGAGAGTATCACTCCATCCGACCCTTTTTTTTTTTTTTTTTTTTTTTTTCAACAATTGGAGAGTTATAACTCCATCCGACCCTTTTTTTTTTTTTTTTTTTTTTTTTTTTTTTTTTTAACTACTCCCAACATATAAATAGTCTACGGTTTTTGTACGGAAAGTAAAAAAACAATTAATCCTTCTGAATTTTAAGAAAATTAAAAATAATTATTGTATATAATATAAATAATAAAAAAATTAAAAATATATTATTTATTACAATTTTAAAATACTCGAAATAAATTATATTTTGTGATAATCACTTAAAAATGACTTATATTTTGAGACGTAGAGAGACAATATATTACACCATGTCTATTTTTCTTTGTAGATGATGTCAATCTAATGCTGCGAGAATAAATATCTATCTATAAATTTTTTTTGAATGTTTTTAAGATTTAGATTTTGTACTTGAGGAAGAAAACTCTCCCTCAATTTTCAAAAGCATGAAATATTTAGCCATAAACCTTCTAATAACACCTTTTCTTGGCATTTCCTTGACTACCAATAAATTACAATTACTCAATAGCAAAATAATAATAATAATAATAATAATTGAGAGAAGAAGCTCTCTCATTGTTACAAAAAGAAGAAAATAAAAAGAAAAGGCAGAGCAGCTTAGATAAATAGATTGATGTGAGATGTGAGAAAGAGTGGCTGTGATCAATCTATTCAAGGCCACCCTCAAAACTCACCCACCCACCACCATACCTCAACCTAATCTTTCCTTCCTAATTCCCATAACTATGATTATCAAAAATCTTCAGCCAGAATCTCAACAGTGCCCAAATAGATTCCTCAATCCCCAAATTTTTTTCCCCTTTGGAAATTGCTTACGTCATAATTGGCCTTCCTTCCTCTCTCTCTCTCTCTCTCTCTCTCTCTCTCTCATTGTTTCTTTGGGTCCCACTTCCCATCCTTCCTTAACCCTATTTCTCCAATTTGCTTCACTACTACTGCCTGCCCCTCCCCCCCTCACCCTACCTGGCTTAAAGTTTGCACCTGAAATTCAGGAATTTCTTTTTCTTTTTTTAAAAAAAGATTATATTATAATAACATAAAAATCATTTTTGACCTTGCTGTCCAAGTAGAGGAGAGTGGGCAGAGTTGTATTAAGTCAAATCCAGAAACGTCCCATCCACAGATCTTATCCTCGGCGATTTCTCATCTGGTTCACATCTCGTGAGATAGTGATATCCTGTTACAATCACAGAATAATTTTTTTAATTAATAATTCTAATTATCACATATAATAATTTTAATTTATTTATATAATTCTTTCAAATACACCAAAATGTGCCTAACTACCATCATGTGTTGTGTTGTGTTGTGTCACTAAAAATCTTGTAACGTTGACCATCCTCCATTGTTTGTTTCTTTCCTTAATTATTGACCGTGTCTACTTCACTTTACATTTCCTTCTAAAATGGGCAATTATCTACCTCCTAAATCCATTTAGCCCCTTCACTCTTTTTCACAACCGACATTTTTACCTATTTCTATTTACTAACGTTACATATTATCCCATAATAGATTTTTAGACGAGATTCGCGCAATAAATTATTTATAAGACACACTTAAATTCAATGAAAATCAATATAAAAATTCAAGAAAACGATCTGAAATTTTAAAGACATCCGTTAAAAAAATAAAAAGAAAAAGTGTACACGAAAACGCACTGAGACCTTTTTTTATTATTTATTAAGAGGTGGAAGGAAAGAGAGGAGGGTTGAAGAATGAAATAATGTTTTCAACTTTAGAAACAGAGACCAATTCAACACTAAACTTACGATAATGATAGCTCATTTAGTAGTTCGGCTTGGTCGGTTTACTTTGCGTGCCTTGCTTTAACTCTTCCTTCTAAACCCTAAATTAGCAAATATGGCCCACTAATCCAAACCATTATGTTTATTTATTTATTTATATAAGCTTAATGAACTAGTTGTTTTATTAATAATAATAATAATAATAGTAACAATAAATTATTAGTAGATCTTTTCCATTTTCTAAGTCAAGAACTAAATATTTAATAAAGACTTGCCTAATTTTTTAAAATCATATTTCTAATACAATTTGGACATGTGGTGGCTAGGGTTGGTCTACTTTGGCTTCCCTAATCAATCTTTTCTTTTTAATTAATTAATTAATTAATTAATTAATATAAATCTGTCTCTTTGAAAGAAACACCAAAATACATAACTGTACATTTAAACAGAAACAGATTAAAAAGTAACTCAACTTCCCTTGTTAATTTAATCATATTAATTATTTCTTTTTTAAAAAAAAAATTAAAAATTTATATTTAGCATATAGCATATAGCTTCCAACGTACCATGTGATTGTGACAGCTATTTGAAGAAGAAGAATAACCAGAATGAAAGCTGTACATCTCTTCTTGTTGTTGTTGTTGTTGGGTTAGACCCTGGCTCGACAAAGATGATGAACCATCTGGTGTAGATGGCTCAGACTCATCAAGTTGGCACTCCAAATTCACACCAAATAGCCTTAGCCTCTTTGAGTTCCCTAATGCTGTTGTTTGGTTCTGCCCACTAGACCCTAATATAACCACATTGCAAAACCATACAATTAATTAGTATAATTAATCATTTATTTTACCCATTTCTATCCATAATCGAATATTTGTTTTATAATAAACGCACGTAATAATAAATTTTATTATGTGAAATACAAATTAATAGAACTCAATATTTCAAAAACAATGTCATTCATTTATTTAACTAATAAAAATTTGGAAAACAACTTAGAAATTTTTTGAAAGAAAAATGAAGTTTTTTATAATCACGCGCTAAACAGTAAATTACATCAAACATTGTTTTGTTGCCATTAAAAATACTAAAGACAACCTCTGTAAGAAAACCAGAATCCAACCACATTCTTCCAAACTAATTGGAAGGTGCTTCTCACGCACTTTAATGCTCGTATCCCATAATCAAGAAACCATTTTTAAAAAAAAAAAAAAATTAAATTAAAAATACATACCTGCATGAAGACAGTCAGGTTGATATGGGACAGTAGAAGTAACATTAGCCCCATGACCATGTTGATAAGGTTGGTGTCCAGATGAAGAATACAATCTCCTACTCCACAACACACCACCGCTACCCTGCACCATCACTCCCCCACTGCTATTGTTATTGTTATTACTGTTATCTCCTCTTCTCCTCCACCCTATAAAAAATCTCTCGCCGTCTGTTCGATGTCGTTCGAACAAAACGACATCACCAGCATCGAGTTGCTTCTCCTTCACATATCTACTCCAGCCTTTAGTCAACACATAACTTTGACTGCTATTCCAATACGAATACCTAAACCGCCAACACTTGCCTAACTCATCCTCGAAACTCAGTATCAGACCTTTATTATCAACTGAGTCAGGACCGAGTGGGAAGTATTTCTCTGCATGTTGTTTTGGTATAACTAAACGGTTTAGCTTCCCTACATCGCTGGGAGTCAACGGTTTCTCAAACATGGTTTCTTTGGCAATTTGTTGTAATACTGGTCCTCCCTCTTGTTCTTCTTCTGGGTCTTGAAGTTCTTCGTCGTCGTTTTGGGTGGCCGGAGAGAACATGGGGTGGTGACTATGGCGCTGAAGATTGTAAGAAAAGCTGTAAAGATTGGAAGGGAAGGAAGAATTTTGGGTAGAAATTAAGGGATTGTTTGGTTTAGAAGAAGGAGAGGAGTTTGGGTTGGGTTCCATGATAAGGTTTTGTTGTTGTTGTTGTGACCACCAAAGGTTTTCTGGAAGGTCTTGTGAGAAATGGTTAATGGACATTTTAGGAAGAGAGAGAGAGAGAGAGAGAGGGAGAGGGAGGATTGTGGGCTGGTAGAGGCGTGATGATTATGGGTTTGATGTGGAAACTGTGGGAACTATTGATATAAGCTATAGCAGGGGATATGACGATGAGAGAGAGAGGGGGGTAGGGGTAGGGGTGGGGGTGGGGGTGGGATTGTACGTAAGTACAAAGGTACTTTAAGGTTTTGCGTGATGAAAAAAATTTCAATCATGATATTTAGTGTAATTTTATGTTATAAACCTTTTTTTTTCACTTTAATAACATTGAAGTGAACTCCTTTTAAAAATTATATTTATAAATTCAGATCCTTTAATGTGAAAAATAAAAATAAAGTTCGAGTTCAATCCTCGTACTATAACCTCTCTTTTTTTTTCCCTTCCTTTTGTTGTTGCTTATGTTGTAATTCTTACCTTCAAGAATTATTATTGATGAATATGTATTTATACTGAGCATTGAGTTGCTGTTAAAAAGTATATGCATGTAGTTATTGGAATGTTTACAAACTTCACTCATAATTTGTTTAAATACATGATTAATCTCGTTTTCTCATAAGTATTTTTCCATAAATTCAAATCCTCGCATTACAAAATCTTCCGTGAAATTAAAGAATGTCTTACTACTTAAACCACTTTTTATAAATCCTAATTTCCATTTCATAAGTGTATTTTCCATCTTTTGAATTCTCACAGAAATAGCCAATAATTTATATATAACTTTTGAGCTTTCAAACTTCGGAGTAATTATTGGTAACCAATAGCAAACGTTAAATTCAAACAAATAAAATTTGTACTAAACATTAAGATTAAGAGTTTACTTGGGGGATAGGCCAATCATCAGCGGCCGGCCGCCACTCAACTTGTCAAATTGAATATTTGATAGCGTTGAAGTTATGTTTGTATTATAAAATAAGCAATAAAAACATTTATAAGTTTTAATTATAATTATTAATATGTCATATTCAATTTTAACGAAATATATCATAAATAATTTTAATGATATTAATTATTTTAATTTTTTAACATTTATAAATTTTTACTAGTTTAACTTTTTGTTCAATTTGAAAAGTTGAATTTTAATAAAATGTACAATTTTTTTTTTTTTTTGTTCAATTGACATTGTCAATTTAATTTTTTGGTCTATTTTTGTCACATGGGGGAATAATTTACCTAAAAAAAACTAGTAAGTTGCAGTTAAATGCAATTAATTTATCAATTGAGACCAATCATTTAAGCACATGCAAACCATAATTAGCACATGTAATTTTCAGGAATTATTTGGTCATTTTGAACCAAATAGTGCCCAAATAGAGTTTAGAATTTCTATTTTCTTGTAGTGAAAAAAAAAAAAAAAAACAATAGTGCCCAATAGAGTTAGAATTTCTATTTTCTTGTAGTGAAAAAAAAAAAAAAAAAAAGAAAAAAAAAAAAAAAAAAGAAATGATGGAAGATACTATAAAGAATTTACTCAATATGACAGGAAAATGCACGTTGAGAAGAAAAGAGATAGAAGTGAATTATATTATAAATATATATATATATAATTGATGGTGGTGTTAGAAGATTGGCAAACAAATCAAATGGGGTGGGGTCCAACACCAATCTCCTGACATAATATTGATAACCTGTGTTCCCATCCAACGGCCGGCATAGCACTTTGTTTTTGCAGATCTTCATTCATTGGGCACATGCGATTCTTTCTTTCCAGTAACTTCTGCAACAAGTATATTTTATAATTTGATACGCTTAATAGATTACTCTAATTTAAGATTTAATAATCCACTGTGATATCTCAATCACGTGTGATGTGATTTAATTGGTTGAACGAGAGTTGTCGAGTTTGAATTTGAGTTAAAAATATTCTTTTTGCGTATTCCGATTCCCTTGTAAATAATTTTTTATGTGTATTTAAGGTTATTAATTTAAATATTAACTAAATTATAATTTGATGAAATAATATAAAAGAATTTTAATAAATTTGTAAAGAAAATAATTAATAGAAGTGGTCCTTAATTTAGACATAGAAGTGAAATTTGGGTGCAAGCAGATTAGTAATTTGGTCACGTGCATGACAGCATTAATTTAATAATGTGTGGCCATTCCTAGTTTAAAAAAATAAAATATGGGTCTGAAATAAAATCCAAAGGTTGATCCATCTTCTTTCTTTCTTCCCTTTCCAATGAACAGAGAGATGATGAGATGAGATAAGATTTGTAAAATTAGAGACATTTCCCTTTTTTTTTTTTTTTTAGGTCAGTCGTGTTTAAATTCTCTCCCCACATTCAAATCTATAATTAATCACATACTTTACTCCTCACTTGGGTCTCTCATCTTTATTATTTTCTAATTTTATATTTGGTCAATGGCATTAAGGACCATATCTAGGAGTCAAACTTCATTTATAATTATTTTATAATTTCTTCTAATTAAGGCGAAACAATTGCGAAGGTGTGCTAACATTCGGTTCAAATCAAATTAGATTGAAACAAACTGAATAATCAAATTATTTTGAAATAAAAATTGAACCAAACCGGATATGCACAAAAACTGAACTATTAGCTAATTGTTTAAGGCTCCATGAAAAAAAATGTTAAATTTTTATTCATGAAACCAAAACCAAATTACATATGTTAAAATCTAAATTGAACCGAATCGAATAAAAGAAACTGTTAGGAAACTTTGATAAAAGAAAATTTTGAAATATGAAATTTATTTTTCATAAAAAAAAGTTATTTAAAAAATAATAAATAATATAGGTAGATGTGTGTGGTTTTGTATTAGTTAGAGACAAAATGCACCTCAAATTCCAGGTAGATTCAGACACCCTTTTGATCCATACAAAAAGATTGAAGTAATAGTTATTAAATTTAAGTACATGTTGGAGAAGAAGAGTAGAGAGGATTGTCTAATAATACAAACAAACAATTTATGCTTCTGTCATCTTCTTCATTGCTTACATTTTTCTATTTGTACTTATCAACTATTCCTCTTTTGTTTGCACCATCCATTTCATCTCAATCATCATATGAGATTTTTTTTTTTTTTCTTTTGTTCTTTTTTTTTACAAGATTAATCTTATTTCAGAATACCAACTTGATTTTGTTTCAAGCGTTTGTGACTTTTTTTTGACTTTTTTTTTTTTTTTGATAAGTGTTTAACCTTATAGATACAGACTCTTGAGTTGGAATACAAAACTAATTTTGTTTCAAGCATATTTGATTGTTTCCTTTTAATAAGTATTTAACTTTATAAAAATTGTGTGCTAATGTTCCTTTTAATAAGTGTTTAACCTTATAAAAATTGTCTGTTAAACTTAAACGTGTCTTAAAGTAATATGTGTTTTACTTAGTGTTTGTTCAGCAAAATTAACTATTTTGACAGCTATTAGTTGTTTGAGTAACTTTTCATAAAACGTTAAAAGCTAAAAATATACGAGTTAATTTTTTATACAATACTATTTTAATTTCTAAAAATTAATTTAAATACTATATTACCTAACACTATAAAAAATAGCATTTAGTCAAAATGTTAAAAGACGAGCTAAAAGCCCTTACAAAACACAGTTTTAGAAATATTTAGGTAGATGACAAACCTAACTAGAGTATGGTTATTGAGGATGTGTCAGCTAATGGTTTTTTTGTAGAACAAAAAATGAATGAGAGTATCCCAAAAGGTGGAATAGAGAGTAATTGTGTGAAAGTTGGTGTTTGGGCCAAGAAGAGGAATCATTGACCATAAGGAAAACAAGGAATCTGCCATTGTAATTATTATGAGTTTATTTCACAAACATAGAGATATTTGAGGAAAGTGGTGAGATTCTATTTTCTAATAAAAACAAAATATTAAATATATTTATATTATAAATCTCAATTCCCAAGCACAACCCACCTGGTTTGTGTAAGAATTTTCACACTACAATCCATCACTCTCTTTTTCCAATTATTATATATGGAAATTAATTAATTATCCAAACAAATCAAATATTTTATTTCGCAATCATACCATTCTAATTTTTAGTTTATATATATACATATTTTTTTTCTTTTTTGTTTATTGGATATTGGGTATTCTTATGTGTAGAATTCATAATTTTAATTTAAATATGAATTTTTTTTATATTTTTATTATAAAAAAGCTTTTTTTTTTTTTTTTAAAGCTTTTTATTTTTGTTTTTTTTAACAAGGTGGAACTGTATATTCACCGAGATTTGTCATACTTTCAATGAAGCTATGTAAAAAATATATGGTACAGTGATGGCCAGAGAACAATGTAGCCTACAATCTTATATTTTTTTTTTTTTTTTAACAAGTGGATGTTAATTCACAGATTGTATATGTTCAATGAAGCTATGTAAAAAATATAGGTAAGTATGGCCAAGAACAATGTACCACAATCTATAGTTTGATACGCATCTTTGTGCCACTGTATTTATATTACACATATACACCCAAATCAACGATTTAACTCTAATTATTGGCATCTATATAATATTATATATTCTCTCCCATTATTGTTTAGCATTGACATAATTATTGAAAGTCTTACGACTTTTTTGAATATGTTTTAAAGAAAAATTTACCATTTCTTAATAAAAGAGATACACTTAATTGCTAAACAATGCCTCGATTTTTACAACTTTTTTTAAACTTCGTCAATTTTTTTAACTTTGTAATTCAACTGTTAGACTTGAACTGCTTACCTGAAGACTAAGAAGATATTGTGATTGTTGTTGACAGTTATCAATCTCAAAATGTTATCCCAAAATGTTGTGTCTCTCTGTATAAATTTTTGTTTTAAATAAATTTTTCTATTTAAAAAGAACATTCAAAATAAAAATTTTTTCTAAATAAAGAGAACAGGAGTTATATATTTTCAAATGCACGAGGCATAGAATCATAGAATGAGACCACTTTGGGATTTGAATCCAGCTATGCAATTTCTAGTTTTCCTTTTCCTTCTGAATTTGATGCTTTATTTGGGCTGCTTCTTGGAAATGGGAAGGGATATTAGTTTCTTGTTGGATTTCTATTTATTTTTTATTTTTTATCCTAGTTATTCTTTTTAGTACTATTAAAGAATAACTGAATATTATCATATTAAATTATATTTTGATATGCATTTTA